CTATCCGCTTACTTTACGTATAAGAAATGTTATCAATATATATATATATATATTGAGAATAGTTTTATGCACAGCATATTAATGTATTCAGATTGTTTTTAAATGTATGCTCGTGTAAAAAAGTAAGTATATCGCATACAACCTTGGAAATGAGTGTATGTAATTATCAACGATTTTTACAATGTCTGGCTAGTTAACTATTATTATAACATGCAAGGTTAATTAATTATATGTCAAGGCTTACCCTCGGGTTGTACTACTTGTATGAAAATACAGTGTTTTGTTTTAATGAAAGCTAGATTTTTTTTCTACATATATATATATATATATATATATATTATGAAGAGGAAACAAAATAAAATATTAAAGAGGTCAACATTTGTGAGCAAATGCAACATGTCTCGGCTAATTTTGACATCATAAACATCACGAAAACATGGAAAAATGGAAAGCTGTCTGTATCACTGCCTGGTACCTGAAGAAGGTATATTTGTACCAAATCCCACGTAAGTTGATTGAAAACCCCAATTATGCTTTCCTCGCTTAAAAATTGAGTAAAACACAAAAATTCCAAAATTGTCTATATCTCCATTTGGGATCTGCAAAGAGTATCTTTATACTAAATCTCACGTAAATTGGTGGAGATATGTCCAAGAAAATTAACTCAAACCCCTAAAATTATGCTTTTTGTGATTTTTGCCTCCCCCTCCTTAAATGACCCAAAATGGGAATGTCTCACATTTTTGCATGTATATGTTTGAGCCTTTAGAAAAGTATCTTTTTACCAAATCCCAGGTAAATTGATCCAAATATGGCCGAGCTATTGACCCAAATCCCCAAAATTATGCTTTTTTGTGAGCTCGGAAACCCTCTTAAAATGGATAAATCGTTTTTGGATGTTAATGTGTTGGGCGTATGAAAATTTATATTTGTGCCAATTTTCATCTTGATTGCTGTAAATATACCGCACAGAAGCCCAAAATATAAATTTTTGGGTTGTTTGACCTTTCACCCCATAAAATCCTTAAAAATGGCCTAAATTAAAAAAAAAAAATGTCTGGGCGTATTGAATCAATGTACAACCCTACCAAGTTTCAAGTCAATTCGCCGAGAAATGAAGGAATAGCGGGTCGATTGAAAAAATGTTTGGAAAAGAAGTAAAAACAATAGAAAAACAACGTCTCTCTGCGGAGACACAAATGTACTGTATTGTTGCGTCAGCGAGGTCACGTGACTAGTGTCACGCCACGTTTCTAGAACTATCTTGTTCCTTCGTGAATGCCCTAGCATTTACTAGATATATGTTTGTCTTATATATAAGACGCTCACAACGTGACGGAATAATGTGTGTGTAGGTAGTGAGTAATTGATCTGCAGTGAGAAAGTATTGTTGAAGTTAACGTTTGTTTTAGCGCGAATGTTGAAATCAAGTGTATCGTGAAGTTATATTCAGAAAGAATAAACCAGTTTTATTAAGTAAGGACTTGTGTCGCTAAAGTTTCGTCGGAACGAAGTTACAAGTTACGGAGAGTTAATTAACAAACGGAGACGTAACAGTATAAAGATGACATAATTGAAACCAAAATAGTTAAAACTTACGTTATCGACGAGTAGCGAATGGCCGATTCAAAAATGATTTTATCATTTTTGTTTTATCAAAATGTGTTTACAAGTAGTGTAAACGTACGTCATATAGATGATTGATTGTTAAGCGTTCATTATATCTAATTTTTTCTGTTCCCCGTTTGTGACCATTAAGTAGAAAATAAGTATGATCTTAAGTGTTTTTGTTTGTTTCAGCGCAAGGCTACTCAATGGGATCTATTTACTTAAAAACAATAATATATATATTTAGGAAATTGTCCCGGTTTTAAAATTACCGAAAACAAAAGACCAGGTGGTTAGGGCGCTCGACTCGCAATCTGTGGGTCGCAGGTTTGAATCTCCGTTACACCAAACATGCTCGCCCTTTCAGCCGTGGGGGCGTTATAAGTGCGGTCAATCCCACTATTCGTTGGTAAAAGAGTAGCCCAAGAGTTGGCGGTGGGTGCTGATGACTAGCTGCA